AAAGGAGATTCGGTACCCTACCATCACCAAAAGGGTGAGAAAGGAGGTTGATTCCTTGCCCTCACCTGGAGGGTGAGAAAGGAGGTCGGTTTCATGCCATCACTAGGAGGGTGAGAAAGGAGGGTAATTCCCTACCGTCACTAGGAGGGTGAGAAAGGAGGTTGGTAGTCTGTTGCACCGGGATTGGTAAAAGAGAGGTCAATTCCCTGTCGTCAACAGAAGGGTGAGAAAGGAGGTCGGTACCCTGCTGTCACCAGGAGGGTGAGAAAGGAAGTCAGTACTCTGCCGCACCAGGATTGGTAAAAGAGAAATTTTGTAAGGGCTTCTCAGCCTTAATATGGGAGCAAAATTAGAGTCACTTTGGTATAGTGCAATACCCGAAGGAGTCTTCAGGGAGTGGATGAAGATCTAGTTGTACCAAACCACTATAAAATTATATGTTCTTTTGTCATTAATTTTTACTGTTTTTTATTTTCTGCACGTTTAATTTTTAATAGTTGAAAAATTGTTTTGAAAAAAAATCTATCGTAAAATCTTAAATTGGTTTTTTAAATTCCCAAGAGATTTTTTAAATTACCAATTCACCCCCCTCTTGGTTAGCATTATGACAATTCAACTAGGTCTAACAATCTATTCGAACTTTCATTAGATATATCTACCATGTAAAGATTAAAGAAGTACTTGAAAAATATAACTTTAACTCTGATATCCTAGAGTGATGCAAAAAGGTTAAAGGTGAAAGCCTCTCTTCCCTTAAATCTAGTTTCCAAAGCCAATACTTTTGTATGCTCTACCAATAAAACCATAAAAATTGATGAAATCCTTCATGATCTATTATGGATGAAAGAATATAACTCCCTTTTGACTAATACTTGAATTGTGTAATTAAATTTGCTAAATAAGGTTTAACTCCATCAATTTGGACTAGAGATAAAGGATAATAATTTGAAGACCTGTGGAACATGAAATAGTATAAATATGATCAAAAGTAGTGTTGGCTTTACTACTCTACATTTACTTGATAATGATGAATATTACTTTGTCATATCAAATAATCTAGAGTTTGATGGTCTCTTTTTAGTGAATGTTAAAACCTTTAATGAACTCTGTTTACAGACTTTAGAGATCAGGATGTCTCTCAAGTTAGGGATGCACCTTCAGAACTTGAAGCCCATATTAGATCTAAAAGAAATAAATCTAGGCATTGAACAAGACCCTCATTCAATTTTTATAAGTTTTATTGAATGAGGATGAGTCAAATAAAATGATCAAGTTACTTAAAGAATTCAAAGGTTATTTTAATTGGAGTTATGAGGAAATGCCCAGATTATCTTCAGACATAGTAAATCCCAAATTTAAAATTCAACCTAAATGATTCCAATAAAATAAGCACCTTAATGGATATGACTAAAGGTCAAATAATAAGCTATACTTGAAGTCAAAAAATTAATCGATGCTATCTTCATCAGGGAAGATAAATATCTTACTTGGTTAGTTAGCATCATCCCAAAAAAGAAGAAGAATAATCAAATTCATGTTTGTATAGACTATATAGACTTAAATAAATCATGTAATAAAAGATGATTTTTTTTCTTCTCATATGAAAACTGATGGTTAATATTGGTCCCTCTCGTGCAATCTATTCCTTTTATAAATGACTCATCTAGATACAATCAATTAAAATAGAATCTGAAGATGAAAAGTCTATAACATTCAAAACACCAATAGGAGTCTACTGCTAAGAAAGTGAAAATGTTTGGATTAAAGAACACTAGGGAAACCTACTAGCGAGTAATGATAATGAATTTTTGTGAACTTATCCACAATTACGTGGAGTGTTATGTCGATGTTCTAGCTATTAAAAGTCTCAAAAGAGGTGATCATTTAAATGAACTAAGAATTGTTTTTTAAATATTACATCAATATAATTTAAAAATTAATCCTCTAAAGTGTGCTTTTGGCACCACTTCTATAAACTTTTTAGGTTTCATAGTCCATCAACGTGAAAGTGAAATCAATCCTAATAAACTAAAAGAAATATTACAAATACTACCTCCTAAATGTATCACAAAATTTAGATATTTCCAAGGTCCATTGGAATATCTTAAAAGATTCATTTCAAATGTTTTAGGAAGATGTAAACCATTCATATCTCTGTACAAGAAAGATGTTTAGTTTTAGTGGGATAAAAATTGCCAAAAAACTATTTGAGAGCATAAAGTAATAACTAAAAAATTTGAATGACGTAGATTCATCCAATCCAAAGAAGCCAATAATTTTGTATACACAAACTTTTAGTGAATCTCTTGTCACCTTATTAGCTATGGTTAATGAGAAAGGGAAAGAGAGCGCACTTTACAATCTAAGTAGACCTTTAATTCCAACTTAAAATCATCCTTTAATCGAGAAACACTATTTGGTTATAATCTCATCTCTCAAAAGTTAAGTCATTATATGTTATCTCATAAAGTATATTTAATCTCTAGAGTAAATTCGATGTAATATTTGATGACGCATCCAATGTTGTCAGGGAGATTTGCCCAATGGTTGATGATTCAATCTCTATTTGAAATCATATTAAATTCCTTTCTTACTATGAAAGGACAAGATGCTACACATTTCTTAGCAGCTCATTAAGTGTAGACGATTATTTAATAAATGATGATATGTTAAAGGAACACATTATGAAATTAGAACTAAATAAAAAATCTTATTGGGACTTTTTATTTTGATAGTGCTACCTCCGATCAACAAGGAGCATCTCATGACACTTCCCCAAGGAAAGCTTGTATTTGCATAGTGTTTGTCACTCTAGATAAATAGTGTAGTCCTTCATCAACCACCCATTGTCCTACATCCAAAAATTTCATCCTGACCTTTAAAAAGTTGGGATACATATATGATCAATTTAATTGATCTACCATCTTCTAGAGGTCATAGATTTATATTAGTAGCTAAAGATTACTTATAAAAGTGTACAAAAGAAATTTTGTTGAGAGAGATTAAATCATATTAGATTCTGAACTTTTTCAAAGACCATGTCATGTATCTATTTTGTGTTCCTCATCAGATTATATTAGATAATGGTTATTTATTTAGGGTCATAAAATTTAATAATTCCACTAGACATCATAATATTGATTGGAGATACTTAATAATCAATTACCCTCATGTAAATGGATTGGTTGTGTCCTACAATAAAACTTTGGTTCAAATCCTAAGGAAATCCTTAGACAATAATAAGCATCAATGGCATAAAAAGTTTGTTGAAGCTGTGTGGGCATATCAAACAATGAATATAACTCCTAATCAATATATGCCTTATGCTTAAGTCCTTTGTCAAGAAGCTATTATTCCTTTGAGGTACAACTACCTTATCTCCATATCGTGTCACTAGATACCACTTGATGGTGTTCAATAGTATACTACCCATAAATTATAAAGAGTTATTCAATCTTTGACATTCATCACTTTGTACAACTGTGGAGCATGTGGTCAGGTCATTAAAGAATTGTTTTGCAATTTTAAAAAATTGACCCCTACTTTCCATTGGAGAGCTAAGTTGAGATCATACTTATCTGATGTACTTTGTATAACTAGATAATTATTGAGGGTGGGGGTAACTTAAGTTTTGTTAGAAGATGAGTGGAGAGTACGACATCGTGCAAGAGGTGCAATTACAACTATGCCAGATTACTCTCGAGAGTGGTCATATAAAAGAGATCTCATTGTTTTCGTATGTGGAGTTGTATGGAGAATGTTGGCATTTGAAATATTAAAAACTTATATTTATGGTTACATGACACTTCATTGTATATATGCAGTTTTGTAAATGCACTAAAGACATATTTTTGCTATTATATTCATATATACTTTTGTAAATGCATTGAAGACATAGACTTGGCATGACAATACGAAGACTATGTTGAATGACAATAATACTATTATAGTTTTTGTAAAGTTTGTTGAGTGTTGAGATTTTGGTTTGATATTGCTAATATTTTGGGATATCATGTTGTAGCTTTCAACTCAACTCTTTTGAGCTTCATTGAACATAAAAGGGATATGTTATAGATTTCATCTAGAATTGTTTTTAGAATTGGCATGTTCCTACTCTGCAAAAAAGTACATAATCGTGATTGTTTGCATAACAAAGTATTTTATTAATGTATTAAAACATTTTTAAAATAACATAAAATTATAATTATTGATGTGGACTCAAATATTTGATCAAATTAGAAAATTTTCACTTTACTTTGTAGACACTAAACCAAACAACCTCTAAGTTTTCAGAATGCACTGATTTTACTTTACTCGGCATACACCTAATCAAATAGAAAAAAAAAATTCATCTGCATTTACTTGACAAACAACCAAACAACAACAAAATAATAATTTTATATTGCATTTATTTTACAATGCAATCACTTTAAAACTAATAAAACAGCCCCTAAATTTGTCCACTATGATGATGCTCTTTTTGTTTTTGGTTTTTTAGCTCTATCATTTTGTATTTTCTATAATTACTTTATTCTTATGATTTCAAAGATTGTAACCATTTTGTACATTATTGATTAATGAATGAATCCTCGGCCAAACCTTCAATTTCTAAAAAAAGGTGTCATTCAAAAAAATATAAATATAAATATAAATTTGGTTAGAAAATCAATGTTTGTTTTATATATATATATATATATTAGAATGGGTTTTCGGGTCAGGTTCAAGTCCAATTCAAAATTTACATGCGTTCAATTGATCTGACATGAATCTTTCCAATTTAGACAAAGAGGTTAGAAATCTAGGCTCGGACCTAACCTACTAATTATTTGCGGATTTGTGAGTTAACCCAAAGGAGTCCAAATTCAAGCCGAATCCAACCATTTGTAAAACAGATCAATCCCAACCTAATTTTTTTTTTGTGCCAAATAAAAATCAAAATTTTGGATAGACATCATATATATATATCAGTTCTTCTCATTCGTGTAAACCAGTTAAATCGGTGTAGATCGTGGGATGGGAAGATTTCTCTCAAGTGCCGCTCGCCGACGCTGTCTCCTATCTGCTCCATTTAATATTCTAAGGCTATTTCCAACGCCGCAGCTCCACGGAGTATTGCGATCGCTGGAAACACTAGCTTATGAGGAGATCCGGGTCTCCGAGCGGCCCGTTAATTCCACAGCTTTCGTTCTTCATGGGCTTCTCGGATCGACTAGAAACTGGAGGACCTTCTCAAGAAGTCTTGCCTCTGAACTTCAGAAAACTTCTCCTTCTAATGGTAAGCCTTCCATTTTTTAAGAAGTTTTGAGATTTATTATAAACTTTTGAGAGGTGTAGCCTTTATTCTGTTATTTTAAAAAGTTTTGGATTTTTTATCCATACTTTTGCATAAACCTTTTGGCTTCTGCTTTAAGTGGTTGTGCCTTGATGTTTTTCTTTTTTTAATTTACTCAGGGCATGTTTATAAGTTTATTTGTCGATCAAATTTACGAAACGTCGTTTGTTTGCTATTTTTTTAATTATGATTGTTTTCTTCGTCTCTAGTTCGTTGCATTATTTTCTTCTCTTCGAGGAAATAGGTTTGGTTGTTCTTGATTTATTGTTTGGTTACCACCTCCGTGCTGTAGATTTCACCATGTGATTTTTTTCATCCAAGGAATTTAAATTGAAATATTTTATGCTTTCCCACATGGTCAAATGCTTTCCCACATGGTCAAGAATTTTGATATCCTTTTAATAACATTCGTGTTTTTTATGCTGCAGAATGGAGGATGGTTCTTGCTGATTTAAGAAATCATGGAAGATCGTCTGGAATTAGAGGGCTTGATCCTCCCCATGATATGGCAAATGCAGCAAGGGATCTAGCTAATCTGGTGAAGTCTCACGAATGGGAGTGGCCAGATGTTGTCATCGGACACTCCATGGGTGGAAAAGTTGCCCTAGACTTTGCAGCTAGTTGTGCTCTTGGGAACTACGGGGAAAATGCTGTTTTGCCGAAACAGGTACTTCGCACCACTTGCTATTGGTTGTATCTGCTCGTTTGATGTTAATCTTTTTTCAGTAATCATATCTGTGATTTGTGTAAACTTCATGCATATGACCTGCATTAGATTTGAAATCAAAAAGGAAAATTGTGTGCAATGACTTTACGATCTCAATGCTGTGCATTATTATTATTATTTTTTGTTGATCTTCGACTGATCTTTAGCCCCACACCCTCCCACTCTATCTTCCCAAATCCTAAATAAACCTTTTGCCAATATTAAAAGCCCTAGAACCTGAGCCCACAACATCCCACAACCTACAAAAGAGTTCCAACAAGTTATCCACACATTGGCTAATACTTGAAATCCAGAAAACCTTAAACCTAGTCAAGTAAACCTCACATAGAGCTCTCCCTAAAACATCACAAGTTATATACATCAATCTCCATTTAAAGATCCTCCCATCACCCACCATCATTAGGTCCTCTAACTTTCTCTTGTTTATGCAACTAGCCAAAGTTTACTTTGCTCCAACATGAGGGCCTAGTGCTAGCATAGAATTATATTATAATAGTAGGCTCTTTGTATTTGAAGTGTGGTGGTGTATGTTATCTGGGTAGGCAATATTTTTTAGGAGTGTAACTAAAATTTATTTAGGAGAATGGCAAATGCGTAGAAGATTTTTCGATATTCATGAAAGATAGGTTAATTTACCATATTCATGAATATGAAAAATAAAATTTTATATTCTTTAATACGGTAGATTAATTCATATATACTATTATATATAAATAAATATATGTATGTATGTATGTACATACATACATATGTATGTACATACATACATACATATATACATATAGTTAAATATTATTATTTTTAAATTAAAAATTAATTAATATTTAATTAAATTTAAAGAAATGTATGTATGCTTAAATATCTAAAAATATTTATTATAAGTTTTAATAAATGAAAGACTTTGAAAAAATATAATTAGATATATATACATAAAGTTAAATAATTAATTGATTTAAATTTATTAAAAAAAAATTTAATGTAGTGGGACGAAGGCTTGATGTTGTCGTTGTTGTTGTAAATGAATAATTTAAATATTGTTATGTTTAAATTAAAAATTATTTAAAATTTAATAAATTATTGAAAAATACACTTAATTGATTAATCTATAATTTGTTAAATTTAATCTATTTTTACTTAAAACCAAACAAAGTGATTTTGATTGATGTGATAAGTCATTTGTGATGGAAGTCTACTTTTTTATATCTAGGCAAGCTTTATTAATGGTAGTGTTTGATAGATATTGTAACCTTAAAAGTGGAATCCAATGCAGCTGGTTATGGTTAGCCAAATTTCTTAGGACAATATACCCTGTTTATTGCTGAAATTATTATTTTTTGCTCTAACATTACTATTTAAATCCTCTTTTACTATTTTAATATTGACACATTAGGATCTTATTGAAGAGTATGTCATGATTATGCATAAATTTAATCTAACATTAAGTTTATTCAAGTGCAATTGCTATGAAGCATGAAGGCATCACAGTTAGCTTTCATTTATGTTCAGGCATCACAGTTAGCTTTCATTTATGTTCTTTCTATTTTACTAAAATTTGTCTTATTTGTTCTTGAGTTTATCCTATCTAACAACCACGAGTTATATTTTTAAGAAAACTAGTGAATTATCGTATAACCCATTGTTGACAGATACAACAACTTGCCAATGGGTAAAAGGTGACAGATCATCGAACCCTAGAATAAAAATACTGGTGCATTCCAATGATGCATTCCATTGTTGTATGTATTTTGAACATCTGAACGTGATCAACTACTAATGACACTACACAGGAAGATAATGAATACACATTGTGACTATGCAGGAGCATTTTTAATCGGTTATGGTTGGAAAATAGTACAAGAAAGATTTATAGGGGCTGATTTTCATGCTTTTGGGATGAATTTTCTGTAAGGAAGATATCATGAGCTAACATGCCCTCAATAGTAACTGCAATGTCGTGAAGTTAATGACATTAATTCTAACATCATAAGATATTAAAAGTGGAACAGCCACGATGCTAGTTCATATTGAACTTGCATGATAAGTTGGAAGATTTTTTTTAATCAGTATTGATTGACAAGAAATTCTACACTAGTTTGAATGATATATTTGTTGCTGCCCAACTCAGTCACAATTGCAAATCTGCATGCATAGGTTACTATAGAGAATAAGTGAGGAAGTGAAAAGGCAGTAGACAATGTGCTAGTTCTAATTATATTAATGTTATTTAATATTTCTCTGTAGTGTGTATGTGAATTATTATTGTTGGTCATCTGTTATAGTTGTGATGTATTTTTTATTCTTGCTTCTCTTAAATAGGTTTTTTATTTCTTTTCAGTTGTTTGTTTCATTCTACTGTAATATATATCTTATTTCAACTTTAATTATGTAATCTTTGATTTCTTATAGCAACGATTTTTCGGTGCATGATAAATTTCTAATAAACTTGTGTTTAATACAATACAGAAATTCCAATTATATTTTATTTGAAACATACATCGGAGTTGTGCACTTAGAATAATGTTACATTTCTTATGTTTGATACAATGCATTATTGTGCATTCCAATGATTCATTCCATTGTTGTACGCATCTTTGGACATCAGAACGTGATCAACTACTTATGACACTGCATGCGAAGACAATTAAAACACATTGTGACTATGTAGGAGCATTTCTAACCAGCTCTGGTTGAAAAAAAGTACAAGAAAGATTTATAGAGGCTAATTTGCATGCTATTGGGCTGAATTTTTTTCAAACAAGATATCATCAGCTAACATGCCCCAACAGTAAACTGCAATATTGTGAAGTCAACAACATTAATTTTAATATCATAACATATGAAGAGTAAAGCAACCATGACGACACTTTTATATTGAACTTGTATGATAAGTTGGAAAAAAAAAAAAATTTAACCGGTATTGATTGACAAGAAATTCAACACTAGTTTTACTAATATATTCGTTGTTGCTCAATTCAGACACAATTGTAAACCTGCATGCACAATTTACTACTGAGAAGAAGTAAGGAAGCGAGGAGACAATAGACAATATGCTAGTTCTGATTATATTGATATTATTTAATATTTCTCTGTATTGTGTATGTGAATTATTATTGTTGGCCATGTGTTATAGTTTTATCTTTTATTTCTTGCTTTTCTTTTGTAAGTTTCTTATTTCTTTTCAATTGTGTGTTTCCTTCTATTGTTATATATATCTTATTTCAACTTCAATTATGTAATCTCTGATTTCTTGTTGTAATGTGATAGGAAATACTTGAGTTCGCAAGTAATCCTATTGGATCTACTTGAGTTCACAAGCAACCCTAATACAAATTTGATCAAAACAGCGATAATAACTAAGATCGTGAAGAAACGAACAAGAAAACCAAAGAGAACTTTATTGAAAACTCAAAACAAAGAAAAATAAGCAAAGATACAAGCGATCCTCTATTCGAGAGGAGGATCGTTCTCTACAAATCTCTAGACGCGATGTCTAGAGCCCCCCAAACTCCAAGAGACTCCAAGAGAACACCAATCTAAACATGCTCTTTCCCTTCCCCCCTCATCTCTATTTAAAGGCCTCCCCCACCGCCCCCTCTACCTTTCTAAATACAAATAATAATTTAAATATTCCCTATCTTCCATATTTATATTTAATTTAGAAAATAAATTCCTATTGTTCTCCAATATGGCAAGCAAGAGGCGGTGGACCCTCTTAGGAGGCAAGGAGAGGCGGTTTGCACCACCTTTGGTATACCCGACCCACTTGGGTCGATTCGGGTTGGGCCCAGGTCGAAGGAACCAATCTATCAATACTGCCTTCCCAAAGAACCACCTTGTCCTCAAGGTGGAAGGAAGAAAATTGTTGTTTTATTTGTTCATAAGGTTCCCATGTTGCCTCGTAATCTGGAAGCTCATTCCACTTGATTAATACCTCTTTTACTCCTCCCTCACCCGGCGTACCCCTTGTAACTCATATGGTTCCATACTTACTTCTAGATCTTTTGTTAAAGTGATGGGTAATTCAGAGCCAATGGAACAATCTCTGATAGCTCTTTTTAATTGAGATACATGAAATACTGGGTGTATAGTAGCCGTTGATGGTAGCTTTAGTCGATAGGCCACTGCACCTATTTTCTCTCGGACTTCATACGGCCCAAAATACCTTGGGGAGAGCTTCTCATTCCTCCTGTTAGCCATCGTCTTCTGTCGATATGGTCGAAGCTTTAGGAAGACCTTCTCCCCTACTTCGAACTGGACATCCTTCTTATGTCAATCAGCTTGTTGCTTCATAATCTGTTGAGCTCTTAGAAGGTGTCCCTTAAGTTTCTCTAACACCCTGTCTCTTTCCTCCAAGTATTCTTCTACTGACAAAACTGGTGTGCTGTTACTCCCACAGGGTACCAAGTGGGGAGGTTCCCTTCCGTACAACATTTTTAAAGGGGTTATCTGAGAAGCCGAATGATAAGAGGTGTTGTACCAATATGCCGCCCATGACAGTCATTTAGCCCATAACTTAGGTTTTCTGATACAAAGCACCTTAGATAGGTCTCAAAGCTTATGTTTACTACTTATGTCTGACCATCTGTTTGTGGGTGGTAGGCAGTATTCCTTTTTAGAACTGTTCTTTGTAATCTGAACAATTCCCTCCAAAAATGGCTAAGGAATACTTTATCTCTATCTGAGACTATGGCCTATGGTATTCCATGTAATCTGACTATTTCCCTGATGAAAGAGGAATGAAGTGTGCTTGCTGAGTTTGTCCACCACTACCATGATGACTGTGAATCCTTCGGATCGGGGTAGACCATCTATAAAATCCATGGACACTTCCTCCCATACCTTGTTTGGAAGTGCCAAGAGTTATAGTAGTCCTCCTGGAGCCATTGCTAGATACTTGTTTCGCTGACATATCTCACATTTGGCTACCATGTCTTCCACAT